AGCAAAATTGGCCGAGTCGCCTCATTCATTTAAATCAATTGTTGGACAGCGACATGCTTCCTAATTATTTGTATATAGTAACGTGTACAGTATGTGTGCACTAATATTTAGTTTAAATTTTCCTTTTAATGATTTTTAATATCTAAACATGCCCCCCATGGAAACCAGCCTAGAGTTGATGGGGCTAGCGTGTTCTTCTTTCTGTTAATTTTAAATAAAGTATTACCTACCTACCTACCTACCTAAATCCCTCATACAGTACTGCCAAGAAATAACTTATCAAAAACCGCGTCCAAGACGCGGGTATCTTGCGTCCACTGTGCGCCCGCGGGTGCGTCCGTCCTGCGGGCGCCGTGCGTCCGTCCTGCGGGCGCCGTGCGTCCATCCTGCGTCCACTGTGCGGGCGCCATGCGTCCGCTTCGCGTCTGCGGGCGAGGACGCAGCTGAGAAAGAGTTCTATTCGTAGATCGTCGGAAATTATCGCGTATCGCTTTTCATAAACAAACCGTGGGCGTCGGAAAATATTCATGTTAGCGATTTCACACCATGTTTTTATGCTTATACACAAGCGTTGCAGACCTAGAATCCTAGATATTTGTACTTCTAACATTAAACTTACCGTGAATTTTCAGAATTTCTGCTTCGTAAAGTTTCTTTTCGTATTTGATCTCTACTTTCGCACCTTCGTATAACGTTTGGTTTAAACCCAGTAATCTTTTAACGTTGCCGGTTGGCAAAATGCACGTATGGTTAAATATCTTCTTCGAAGAAACCCAAAATACGTTTTGGTTGACAAGTAAGCGATCGATACAATTTAAAGTTTCAGTTCTGTATTGATACTATAAATTCTTGGGCTTCGTGCAACCTTATGAAACTTGACCCCAAAAAGTGCAAAGAACTACGCGTTTGCTTTCTGCGGGAATCACCTGATCTATCACCATTGTTGATCGACGGTCATGCGCTTGAGGTTGTGCGGTCTCATAAAGTCCTAGGTCTGGTTATCCAAAACGATCTTAAATGGAATGCACACATAGAATCAGTTGTATCCAAGGCTTCTAAACGTTTATATATCATCCGCATATTACGACGAGGTGGTGTCCTTGCGGAAGACTTATTGGGTATATACTTTGCCTTAATACAATCGGTTCTGGAGTACTGCTGTGTGGTATGGCATCATGCCCTACCTTTGTACCTCGCCGATGATTTAGAGCGAGTGCAGAAACGAGCGCTGAGGATCATTTTACCGGGTTACTCTTATAGGAAAGCATTAGCACAACTTGGGTGTTCCAGATTGGATGAAAGGCGAGAACGTCATTGCCTCAATACTATGAAACGCATAGAAAATTGAAGGACCACTGTCAAAATATGTTCCATTGTCTAGGGCTAGTTCAAATGATTATCAACTTAGAAACTCTAACACATTAACAGCAATAAAATGCCGAACAGAAAGATATCGCCGTAGCTTTTTTCCCAGTACAGTAGCTTTATATAATAGTTATAGTAAAGAAACTTAAGCGTGATACTTAATTACGGTGATTTTAATGCAATTCAATAAGATTTTTAGACTTGTGCATGCAACTTAATTTTTTATATATGTAAATATATATAGCGTGCCAATTTTGTAAACGCACCATATTAAATTCAATCTATTGCGAAGGTGTGTATCTTAAACCATTAATAATAATAATAATAATAATAATAATAATAATAATACCTCATTTCATTAGTCTGATAATAATACGGATCGAGTGATATTAGTCTGAGCTCTTCACTTCAGCTTTAGCGAATTATACTGCAACTTTGAAAATCAAGCGATGAGTCACAGTCATTGAACCGTGTTGAAACACAAAGACTGTTTCCTGGACATATAAAGGTATTCCATTGAGGGATTAAGAGAAGTCATTTATCCAGAAATTATATGGTAATTATCAATTTATATGACATATCACCATGTGCATTTACTGCTTTGGAAAAACAACACAAACTTGTTGCTGTAAATAAAGTTATATAGTGGCTCGTAGTAATGGTATTTTATATGAAAAATCAAAAGCACTATATATATTGTAAATGAGCATCTTCGTTTTAATATACTGACGCGTTACGGAGACATAACATTATTCAAATACAGAATTGCATATCAACTAATCGGCAATCTTCTACGAGGTAAGTCAGAATTTGAGTAGCAAATGAATGTGTTGCGAGATATATACTCGTTGTAGTCGTGATCTCACTGAGTTTTGTATATGTGTCTACATTATATTTATATATAGTTTATGTCTATTTTACGCTCCAATATACAGTCATATACGCTTCAATCACCACTCAAGTACTGTACGTGTCATTGCATTGTGAAAGCACTACGCTTACTGTAGTATAACGAATAACATAAAATGGTAAGTTATACTAAGTGTAACGCTTAGGTTCAATGAAACTCGATTTCGGATTCAACTTTTTGTTCTTGCTTCTCCGATCAGTGACACTGATCTGTATTCTCACGACAAACTACGAGTATGATACAAAGATTTGTTCGTTTTTCCGATTATGTTACGACGACTGCGTCCAAGCCGACGCAGTTTTTAACTAGAGGCCGGACGCGGGCGCTCTGGAGGCACGACGCGGGCAGAGTGGACGCAAGACGCGGGCGCTCTGGAGGCAGGACGCGGGCAGACGCGGGTACAAGTTATTTCTTGGCTGTACTGTATAGTCCACAACAGCAGACACCAGCATGTGTCTCTCCGCCGGGGGGGGTCACTCGTCAAATAACTTTTCTTTTTATGATGAAGTGTTTCTAAAATTTGGTTATTCTGAAAGACCGCTTGCTTTAATCTCTTGAGGCCACGGTAAAGCTGGACTTAGGGGCTAGTCGGCCGAAAAATTGTGAAATTTCTGCATGAAATTATGCCATTTTTTGTACTGAATTCAGTGAATTTCGGCGTGGGGCCTAGGGCATACAAGCCAGGCTTCAATTTCCGCCATCTTTGGCTTCAAAAACACAGTCCAGTTTATCGTTCCAGTATTTATAGGGTTCACTGGTGGCGACTCACTCGCGAGTGGATGGCCAGTCACTTGCGAGTTATGAGTGTGCAAGTGGGCGAGTCACGAGCATGGAAATAATAGCTGCTATAGATTGCGTACTTGATCACGAATCATGTCTCCACTTTTGTCATGCGTGCCCTCATAAATCCGCCATGTTCAAATTTGACTAGGAGTGCAAACTACAAAGTATAAACTATAAACCACGTATAAACAAAGCTAAATCGGAACGTTTTGTACAAAATGATAATTCATTCTTCGTCGGGTTTTGTTTTTCTTCAATTTAAAATTGAGTGTTTTTATGTTTTTAAAACAAATGCTATATTTAGTTGTTGATGAATTGTAAATCGCCTCAACAATCGTCGAAAATTGTTGTCTCAAAAGCATTGCCTCAAAGCTCAGAGGAGGTTGGACACCAGGCCGCAAAGCATCATGGGTATTGAGCGCCTAATTCCACGCGTGCTTCATTGACTGTTGACTGTCGAGGAGTGAACATCTCTCTGACTATGAAACCAATATGGAAGCATTCGAACGACAAATGGTTGTCGGTTTAAGGTTGGTATTAATTAGTACAATGCACTACAGTTATGTTGTTATTTAGTCAAATTTCCGCTTTGTTGTTTTTATTCTTGTATTGTAATTTCATAAATACACTGTACAAAATTATGGCGTAATATTTGTGTTTATTGCCTCTAGTTTGACCCTATTGTGTTTTGTGTGTGAATGTGTGTGTGTGTCTATGTACTGTGTTACATGTTTTGAGTTAAACAAATTGTTTAATACATTTTTGCTGAAGTATGATGCCTGTTTGTATCTAGTTGCGGACATATTTTTGCATATATACCAGGTGATCTCGTGTTCGTATTTTAGCCAATCAGCGCTCAGAATGGGTTGTCTGAATAGAAATCCATTTTGATGTATTCAGTCAATTATATCTTTCGTTATTCTTTATGAAACTAGTTGAAATTTTGTAATTATGTTTGGTTATGAGAACTATAGCTCTGACAAAAATATGGAATCGAAATAAAGTATATTACAGGAGATATTCAGTTGTTTTAATCACAAAATGGATTTCTATTTGACAACTAGTGCTAGTACTTTTCCGCGTATCAAGATCATCTGGTATGCATACAGTAGTTAGATATTTGGCAATATTTAGTAGTTAGATATATGGCAATATTTTTCATACAGTAGTTAGATATATGGCAATATTTTTCAATTTTCATCTGTAAAATATTGCCATATTTGTGTGTTGTTCTAATATTACTGTAAATACTATAGTGACACACTTTTGCATTAGATTGCTAATTTTAGAGATTACAGTGTATGTATAAAATAGTAAAATGAAAATTTTCTTGTTATGATTTTGTAGTAGGAAGAAATCTACTTGAGTGGTTGGCTGGTCTTGAACCTGGTCAGGATGGATATGGTAATGAAGGTGATAGGGCAGAAAGTCGTGACCAGTTAAGTGGTGAGGATGAAAGTGACAAGGACGAAATCACCCATGCTGTACCATTCAAGTGCATCAGTGCTGCTCATGAGAAAAACTACCAACATCATTTGGAACAGGCATACTTTGCTCTTCATGGACTGAATGGACTTGAATCCAATGGACCCAAGTGCAATTGATCTAGACTATGGAACAGGATGGACACATGTTGGTTATATTGCTTCTGAACTATGCAAGTATTTGCACCCACTAATTGCCGCAGGAGATATCTTAGAGGTCTATGTTCAGCATATCAGGTGTAGGGTTGACTTTTTAAAAATAGGATTTTATCCAAAAAATTCATAAAGCGATGTGGTGAGTGGGAGACTCAAGTGGTAAATAAGAGCATGAGTGTACATTGACAGATGTTTGTGATATAATAGCAACTGACTAGGTTTAGCAAGTTATAGAAATGCTGTTATTTCAATTGGCTAACTTTTTAGATTTTTTTCAGCATTTTTCAACAAAAACTAGGTTAATCACAAGTGGGTGCAATTAAAACAATGTCTGTCTGTGATGCACATTCATGCAATTAAGTACACAATTGTAACATGTGGTGAACAAAATAAACAAATAAATAGTTTATGCATTCACTTGACCAACTTTGTGAGTAATTTTTCATTAAAATCAATGCAACAATAAAACAAAAATATGTCTATTTATGTACATATTGATCGAATGTCCCACAATAACATGCTGCTGATACTTTGTGGTACATTATGTGAGAATACAAAAAAAAACCTGCATATAATGTTAAGTCCCAGATATGAGGTATTTGATCATTAATTGCAACCCCATTCTAGGGATTTTGAACCAAAATGACTTTTTTTAATATAGTATTTATTGCAAAATGGTGGGGTATTTGACCAATATTTATTGCCCAACAGTGGAGCATTTGATTGAAAATTTGCTCAAAAAATCAAATGCCCCACATATGTCCGACCCCCTCTCTGGGGCTTAACATTGATAGGTGCATAAGATCTATAATCACCATTTCTCAAACTTTATCTGAATTAGTTGTGTAACAGCATTTATACAAAATACTGTAAAAAAAAGAAGCAGCCAAGTGGGCTTTCACTGCTATAAAGGGCATTCTATCCAATGGAATTCTAGGACCAATATCTCCATGGCGTTGTTCTCCAAAGCATTGAGCAGTGTGATAAATCAGATTGTCTTTTTGACCTGCATTTTGAGGGACAACTTTATCAGCCATTGAGTAGTTGTTCTCGTTTTCGCTGGGTTAGTTTTAAAAATCCAGAAGTCATATCAATAACATTACCATAGTGGTGAACAAGGTTTTGGTCACTTGATGGAGACAGTCTTAGCATCGGAGATCTTGCATATGTAGAAGGTCTGTACAGATTGAAAGGACTGATATTACCTCCAAATTTAATGATGATCGATGCTTAATTCTTGCAGACAAAATCATTGATAAAAATAGAATCCAGCCAAAATCCCAAATCTAAAACATCAGCCAAACAATAAATTTCACTTATAAAATATTGTTACAGAACTCAGAAGTGCTTTAATTATTTACATACTTTAACTGCAATATATACAATCCATAATATATCGAAACATCTATAGTACTGTATATCACATTTCTTTAGAAAAAAGCGAGTAATAGCAATTCATTATCGATCTGAGTGACAAGGCAGCATATTTTACAGAGGGCTAACGGTAAATATCTCGAAAACGGTTGCGGGACCGAGGGGGGCCGGCTGTATAGAATTAAAGATTATACTTTTGTTTAACTAATCATGAAAAAAATAGCGAAATCGAACCGTGGAAAATTGAGATTTTTGTCTTCAAAGATTGTTGACGGAAACGCCATTAAATTACATCGCGACGGCATAGCGCCTATGTGAGAGGTCAAAATAAACTGCAAAATGACGCTTACCTTTCAATATACCGTTCCAATGGGTAGATTGACTGTTGTCAACGTAGTATCGCGTGAAATTTCCAAAAAAATGTGCATAACAATAGGGGAAAAAATCGATATTTATGAGCCCTATGTAAATTTTCGATGCCAAAAGCTTCATGCGAGCATGAGGAAAATGGCGCAATTTGATCAGTGTTCGAGACATACGCCCAGATTTGCCTAATATGCTGTCCAACCTCTGCTCAAAGCTCAAGCAACATAGAAAAATATGAAAAGTAATTGTGTAAGTTTAAAAAGATTATTGAACTCCATTTATATTACAAAACAGTTGAAATATTTTTAGAATATACAGTAGACGATTTCTGTATATTTATTCTGTTCAGAACTATAATTGCTTTTCGTTTCAAAAGTTTGTCTTCTTTACAAACTCCTTTTGTACATGTTAAAGAACCATTCTCATTTACATCTTACCTTCGGATGTGAAAAATAATTATAAACATTTCTTTGGTCCAATCTCAGTATAAAAAAGTTAAAATGAGCAAGTATAACCATAGGATGGTAGTTATAATATATTATGGATTGGAAACCGAAACATCGATTATTCCGCCATTAAAATGGCCGCCAAGCAGGTTTGGGGGCACAATGCATTGTGGTTGACAATGACTCTTTAAGTCTCGGTTTAAAAACATTGTTGAAAAAACAATATCACACTCCTCGCAACCGCGTGAAATTCCCTTCCGCAGGAGTCTGGGGCGAATCAAAATGCCTTTTGTAATCCACCATTTTGTGGAGACAAAAGTTTGACTGAAGAAAGATAGGAGAACGCATTCTATATCATTTCTATGGTTACGAGTGTCCAAGTGGCGAGTCACTCGCGAGTTACGAGTGTGTGAGTCAATCGCAAGTGGATGGCGAGTCACTCGCCAACCTCGTTCCCAGGCTCTTCCCTCTTTGAGAGGAAAGACCGTGGTAATAGCTGGTCACGTGGCCAGAAAATTGATTGCCTAAGGGGGTGTGGGGAAAGTATCATATTACACGCTTCCACACTTTACACTTCGATCGTATGGCAACTCAAGAAGAAATGAGCCGCTATTTTTGGTCAGCGTCGACAAATTGCCCACCTGTTGTACTGCAGTACAATTAATGAAATGGTTGTACTCCTCTCAACCAATTAGCATCCAGTAATTTTGTCGTGCTAATAATAACGCGGTTACAATGAGTACTTGCCATCCGGTCTATTAAAAGCACAAATACATCAGGCACGACCTACAAAAAGTGGCGAGACATGCCTTTTAAATTGGCGATAACTTGAGTATTCGGCAATTTGCAACTACTCAACTGATACCTTAGTTACATTTTCCGGGTATACACTGGCCTGTGAACATTTTTGCGCATATATAGTATCTTCTTTTTGTCGTTTTCAAATCTTACTATTAAAGTTTGCCAAATAATTTAACACGTTACGATTTGTTAATTTTTTCAATATTATCAAGCGAGGACTAAAGAGTAAAGTTATTTCTTTTCAGTTTAAAGGTTTTCCGTCGACGATTACTACACATGAGCAACTTGTTGACATCGTGAAACGAATCCTGTTCATTCCCATTCAGCACAGTGCTATCAACTACCCAGTGTCTTACTATGGAGCGTCTACAGCCAACATGCCAACCAAGCTTTATTATCCAGACACACAAGATTTCAGCATTCATAATTTGCCAATTTATAACATTGTTTCGGTAAAGTTTAAATAAAACATTTCTTATCAATTATCAGTCAATATATTAATCGGAAAGTATAGGGTGACTTCCACACTATAAATTTGTGCGTGTTGCTACAACACCAAAATGGTACGGTGTAATCGTTGCAGCTCTCTAGACACTGCCACTTTGTGTAAATGTTAAAACCATTTATACCTTATTGGATGTACGAGTGTATTTGGTGTTTCCCTAGCACTAGCACAAAATTGAATGGTGTAGACGTTTACACTAATCAATTACTACATACTTAGCTGAAATAATTACATTATTTACCATTTTTGGTATAGGATTGGTTAATAGGGAGCTTTAGATTTGACTACGAGTACGACTACGAGTACGAGATTTGATCGCGTGCGAGAAAGTTACCGTAGTCGTTCTCGTTTCCGATCAAATGTTGCTTTTATAACAGTAAATCAACAACGAGAGAAAAAGTTTCATAAACTAAATCTCCTGCTGACTAAAATCCCCTCCAAACCGGCAAATAAGTCATAACATTAAAAACAGGCCAGATATTTAGTACTAATATATTATTTGCGCCGGATAAACGCTATATAAATGCTACAAATTATTTTTGGAAAACAAAAAAAAGCCAACTTTCTTTGTTTTTTTTGAAAAGTCGTCGTGAGGACTACGAGGTTTCTCCACAATTTCGTACTCAGATGGGCGACGGCTACGACTTTTTAGCGTCAGTACGGGATGGCGTAAGCATACAGCATGCGTTTAGCTTGACGAATCTCGTACTCGTAGTCGTACTCGTAGTCAAATCTAAAGCTCCCTAATGTCAGGATTAGGATGAGGATTAGATAAACGTTATAATTACGCTTAGGATTTCAGATACGATTATGATTAGGATAATTGTAAGGGTTTGTGCGAGTCATTCTCGACATCGCTCTATAGTATTAGGGTTTGAATCTACTTCTTTCAGTTTAGTACGAATAATCATCAAATAAATGCACAGTCATTATATATAATCAATATATAAATGAGATCCCGTTACCAGTTGTCCGACTAGGCAATGCCCACTAAAATTAAACACCATGTCCATGTCCATGTCCGGCAGTATGGAAGTCGGGCCAGTACCTACACTAAAATGGACAAATCGTAACTCGCTTTATTGTTTTGCAGTACCAACTTTCCATTGCCATGAATTTGGGATCTCTACGATATGATAAACTCTTCGACTACAGCGATAATTTGGCAGATGATCAAGCCAAAGTACTTGTGAAAAAATACTACGATGATCTCCATGGCGAAGTCAACAAGCTAATTATCAAGAGAAATTGCAAGAGGCAGCTGGTGGGCAAGTTCATTTATCCATACTTCATGCCACAATGGTTGACCAACAGCATACATACATAATAACTTAACTTTTTCGTAACTTTAGACGTTAACTGTTAACTTAGTAGGCGAGAATAATTTTAAAGTATTTTTACTATAGCTATAGTTAGTTACAATTAATTGTTGATTAGTTTAGCACAAAGTCACACTGGCTTAAGAAGTTAAGGATCTTTTTCTTTGTTAATTATATTTTTCTTAATTAAATATGTGCCAGCCACTGTTGTATTGTGGTAATGTTTTGTTTAATGAAATCAAGTACCAGTTCGCACAACATGGATTTGTAATGCATTATTAGTACTCTAGCTGTTTTAACATAAACATTGTATTAAAATAAACATTTTGTAAAAGTGTACGTTCATTTGCATTCATTGTTTGGTTAATTTATCTTGATCCATGCAGTGAAAACTATAGTATGTATTCACGCTTAAACTTTTTAAAAACATTCGTAAAATTTAACTCGTGATGTGAGCTTAATTCTATACGATTGACTCCCGAAGGTAAACCCTGCGCAAAGTGATCGTCTCCCGAATATATAATCACTACTACAAAATACATGCATGCAGAAACGCCTTGCTGACAAAACCATTGTATTTTCCGAACATGAAGTATTTAAAGTAGTTGTCATGGTAACACCATAGTTTTGTTAAGAATATTTCTACAAATGAAAAATCCCCTAAAAATATCAATTCTAATTACAAAATTATACTGTATTACATGTATTGGGGTTCCTGATTGCGACGCATTCGTCTTCTCAGTGCCACTGAAGAGAAAGATAGGGTGGTCTCTTTGGAGTATCTTTGCTTGGAAAAGCTAAACTAGAATTTCGTCCTAAAATGCTATTTCATGCCTTTTTCCACGAGCAAATTATTTCAGCCATGGTTTAGGTTTCTGGCGATGCTTAAATTTCAGTCCCCAAATTCCTACCGGGTCAATTGACTCGGTTGAACTCATAGCTAGTTATCGGCCAGCACATGATGGTCAAATTCAGAAATGTTAACAACTTAACATCATTTTTTTCACTTTGATACCTAATTGCTGGTTGACAACTGTTACGAGCCGGTCCTTACTACTTTATTTGGCCGCGCTTTTGGTTTTATTTACTCGCAACAAAGATTGTGAAACCAATTACTTTCAATGATATATTTATTTTCTTATATATTACTCAATAATTAGCGTCTCTATAACTTTCCTTAATATATATAATATAATTCTTAATACTTTTCAACTTATCTCTTTTCTGTCTGATTGAGCACAACTCTTTTGTCTTCGTCTTCTTCACGTAACTTCGCCTTAATTGCATGTAACTTCAAGAACTCTTTCGTATATAACTTGTATAACTTGTAATAATCCTTCCTTAACAATCTTCTTTATAACTCTCCAAAATGATATTCACGTAAGGCGCTGAGGCCTTATGAATCATGTAAGGCGCGAAGGCCTATGAATCATGTAAGGCGAGAAGGCCTATGAATCATGTATTAGAGTTGTGCTCTCCCTTATATACCGGTTCAGAGAGGAACTTTTTAACTTGCAGTGTCATTACTCGTGGAAGATTTTTACAATTTTCTTGCGGTAACTGTCCCGTCCGTTATACGCACTTGTGGTAACTAAATATTTACTTGCTCATGCGTGACATATGTATGATAAAAAGTGTTAATGTATAATATATAATGTTGTAAAATATACATGATAATAGCTATAATGTAGCAACCACCTACTGCAGGTAGTTCTGTAGGACCTTGCACTGGAGGGGACAAATTTGCCGACTGGAGGGGCCACTAAGAGGGACATGTCCCCCCTCCCCCAGTCTATATGTTAAAAGAGGCCCTGTTGTCAAATACCACAAGTTTAATAAGTGTTTAATATATTTCAAAACTGGTGTATTAAGGTCTCTAATAACGAAATAGATTGGACCGTATGGTAGAAACCGAAATAGATTGGACAGTATGGTAGACTGAGTTAATAATGCCTATCACTAAGACAAGTTACTCATTTCCTAAAAATGTATCTATGGTACCGGTACCATAGATACATTTTTAGGAAATGAATAATTTGTCTTAGTGATAGGCATTATTAACTCTACCATGCATACTATATTATGTATATATGTACGGAGGGATATTTATCGTAAGCCGTTTTTCTACCGACTCCAAAATTTAAAAAAATAACGTAATCGGATCAAATTTTGAATAGTTACAATAATTGTTCAATCGCAAAAATTCGATCTCTTGGCCTTGAGAATCATTGACTGAAATTCATCATCGAGTTTCCAGATCATAACATATATCTTGATTGACTGTGTTGGCAATTTCCGTTTGCGGACATTACTACATGCAGCCAAGCTTTCCTTTCACACGGATACTATTGAATATTTAATAATGGATACCAGTAATATTTGTTATATAGGCACTAAGGACAATGAAATGTTTTGTTATGAGTTTCGTTTTGTTTTGTTTAGTAATTGAACTATGCCTATCGAAATTCATGTTTTGCAACTGAATTTAGAGTTTAAGTACAACATTCGAGCTATGATAGAAAATATACGTACAAATAGTGGATTGAAGTTTTTTTGTCAAAATGTTAGTTAAAAATCTATTTTAACATAGATATGCAAAGAAGGATTAAATATTTTCGAAGTTAAATTACGTTGACTCAGTCCAATCTATTTCGTTATTGTCTGTCCAATTCAGGGGGCAAAAAAAGGTGGAGGAAGGGGCAAGCGAGCACAGCAGAATGATTCGTGTATTTTTACCTGTTTCTCTATATAGGTGTACATATAGGAAACACATCATCGATAATAAATTCGCTCGAAGATCAAGTCCATGTTTTACAAGTCCATGTTTTACAAGTTCATGTTTTACAAGTCCATGTTTTACAAGTCCATGTTTTACAAGTCCACGTTTTACAAGTCCATGTTTTACAAGTCCATGTTTTACAAGTCCATGTTTTACAAGTCCATGTTTTACAAGTCCATGTTTTACAAGTCCATGTTTTACAAGTCCATATTTTACAAGTCCATGTTTCACAAGTCCATGTTTTACAAGTCCATGTTTTACAAGTCCATGTTTTACAAGTCCATGTTTTACAAGTCCATGTTTTACAAGTCCATGTTTTACAAGTCCATGTTTTACAAGTCCAGTCCATAGTTCCAGTCCATGTTTTACAACATGCTTTCCCGAATATATTCTGCACAACGAAATCAAGACCTCTTATTAGGTTTATTACTCAAATCGTTTTTCGTGAAATGGAAAGTCCTCATCAAGCCTATTTTATCATTAAGCATTTTTATCACAAACGTTAACTATTGTGTGGAAAATTAATGAATATTTTGCTGAGGTTCACCATGTAACGTGTTCAACTGTGTTGTCTAATGTAGCAATGACGAACAAGGCATATTCAACTGTGTCTAATGATGATCAGCAACATACTTGAAACAAATTAAACTGCATATTGAAACAGTCTTTATTCTGTATGACGTGAATCTCTGTCCGTATCACCTGGAGCATGACATTGTGCGTGCATCAATATTTATGACTGCAAATCAACTTTGGGTGATTATATAAGCTGGGTGGTTTTGCTACCTTTTGCATACAAGTTCACAAGACCTTGGCCTAGACAGTTCTTTAAGATATCAATCTTCGCAGAATCGCAGGAAGCTTGGAATGGCGAAACGTTCCCTTCTGTTGTTATTACAAGTCGCCCTTTTTGCGAATGGTGTAATGTCTTGCTGTTTCCAGTATGAAATAACAATCTTTATTTTAATACCTTTTGGAGTCATTATACTCGCAATCTATACTGTGTGTACAGTGTACATTTTGTACCTCGATTATTATGATACATATTTCTTAAAAACTAATGAATTCATTCATTTTAATTGTAGTTCTAGGCATGTTCGTTCTTCAAAATTCGACTTTGACCATTTGGCCCGTGAGCTAGATGAACAAGAGATCTTCACACAAGAAGAAAGAGGGATACCACATCTCGACTTAGCAAAGTTCTTTGATAGAATAAACGACTTTGCAGACCAATCACCGCTGAAGAAAGAAATTGAAGAGGACTCGGAATATCGTCCAAAGAAGAAAGAAGACTTGGAGAAGCTCGTCATTCTCGCCATGATCGATGAGAATGCGCTGTCAGGAGTTCCAACAGAACGTAAGTACACTTTATCAATATTTGATTTATATGTTCAGAATAATAAATATTACAGTGTTGCAACAGTAGGTATGCCTGGAACGGCATGCAGTTGTTTTATATTTTGATATTATGAATACAGTCATACAGTGTGATATATAAACAGTCTTTTAGCTTTATTACGCTAATAAGACCAAAAGAAGCCACGCCTATTTTACATCGACTCATGCGTTCATAAATGTAACCATAAAAGACTTAATGCAGAAAATGATATGAAATGATAATAATGAAGGCCTTTTTGTGCCTTGAGTGTAAATTTGATACATTTTAATGACCTAACCGGGAGCAGCTGCGAAATATGCAACTATGTAGGCCATCTGGCATGAATCGAACTGCGGTCCTGCGATTCTGGTGCAGCGCACTAACCTACAGATCCAGTTGTCGACCTTAAACCACAAGTTCATGTACATTTACAGCTATTTCAGTTAAGGTTGCCATATCAGTTGTCCAAGGCGCGAACAGCAAGATTTTATTCCAAATTTTATTATTTTTAGCTGTTTAAGGTACCTATGGCCATAGCTCCTTTTTGTTTTGGCAATTCCCAGGGCTAGGGGTATACATGATTTGTAATACATTTCACCCCATAAAATATCTTATTCCCATTAAACTCGAACGATATGTGCCAGCATAGCTTATTCCCAATATACTTTTGGCGCTTGAATATTCATATGCAAAATTTCAAAAGAGTTCTGCACGATTAAGTTGTCTCAACATTAAGTCGTAGCTAACTATGACACTTTGAAATTTAGCATTGAATATTTTTTCTCAAATTTGTTATCTATGCCATGTATCTTATGAAAAGAAATGCAATTTTGAGAATGCGAGAAATGCCCCTCGTACAATTATCTAAATGCAAAATTTCCGATCAAAATTAGATATGGATTTTCTTCGCTCCCCCCCCCCCCCCCCCCCCCCCCCCCCCCCCCCCCCCCC